AGGGTTTTTTCAGCCTTGTCTTCCATATTCATAAATTATAAATTTATGTAATAGATGAAGGTTGAAGGATAGGTGAAAAACCGGGTCTCAGAAGGATTCAAGCAGGTACTCCACTAGGTGAAGGAGGCCATTGGGCTGAGTTCTGCCGAGATCTGGCCTTTCATCCTATCGTCAGTCCTCATCCTCACGCTATCTGAGACAGTCTCATGATAAATCATGAGATTCTCTTGCTTCACAGATCTCATTCAAACAGTCTTTCTTTCTTTTACATAACTCAAATTAATAGTTACAGGGAACTTGAAGTATGTTGTTGCGTTTTTATTGACTTAAATTCAAATTCAAGTTATGATTGTTGACTTAAGTTTAAAAGGTGTATTGTTTTGCTCAAAAAAACACTGTCTAGACACGTTATTATATTTTTCCATGCAAACTTACTTATCTTATGTCACACAACTTTAATAGTAGTAAAGTTCCTGAAAAGTTTAAACAACTTCTCATCCTAAAGTGTATCTTTTACAACGGTTTAGGAAGATAGTATTATTGTTCCCTTGGCTTCCGAGTGCAACATGTGACTTTAGCAGTACATCTCCATTCCACCCTGTCCTCTTCAGTTGACTCATGACTGCCCATAAGCTTCCATTTCCTCCTCACACAACCTCCTCCATGTCACATTCGGACTCATCGTTCCCAATTCGGGTCTCACTTGAGGTATTGTCTAGCGTGTGATATCATCTGACGGCCTCTTCATAGTGCGTCCAATCCATTTCCATTTCCTTCGGAAAATTATTTAAGCAATAGATTCTTGACTGGTTCGTTTCTAGAGTTCTCTGCTGCTAATTCTCCCTAGCCATCCGGTCATCTGATGTTTAGTATGGAACCAGAGTAGACAACTGTTGATAAAAGTCTGTAGCTTGTTAAAGATACTTTCAGTGAAACCCACGTCAATTTCTGACCCACATAAAAGAACTGACTAAATTAATACTGGTGTTGAGAACCTAAATTTCGTTCTTTATGCTGCAAGGGAGTGAAGAAGATTCCCAAACTGATTTCGGAGTGAAAAAGATCTGCCTGGCCTTTTCGATTCTCTTTTTGACATAGTCATCCATGTGGTGTACCTGCAGTTGAAACGATGTTGCTTAGATAATTGAAGAATGCGACTTCTTTCAAATCTTTTCCGTTGATAGTGATTAGTGCTTGTTGGTGTTGTCGTTGGTTAGTTATCTTCATCACCTCTATCTTTACTATGTCCACCTGTAGTCCTGTCTTCTCTGACAGCTTCTTCTGAGAACTTGTTGGTTTTCTTCTGTAAGTCTTCAAGTTTGTTAACATAAGACAAAAGTCATCCGTCGAAACTCCAGATCTTATAGAGACTTCTTATGGGTCCAGTTTATTCTTTTGGTCTCACTTTCCACTATCTTCCGCATGATTCAGTTCACCACAATTGGCAATATCATGAGTGATAGTAGGTAGCCTTGTTTTTCTCCTATCTTAACTCCAGTCGCTTCTCTGAGTTTTCGTAATCCACTTTCTTGTGATTAATTAATTAATGTAACGGAGAAAAAAATAATTAGTGAGAGATATGATAACAGCCACTCAGCATGATAATCTTGTGTACGTTGATAGATTGGCTCAGCGATGATGCGTGATCACCGCGTCTGTGTCCAGTTACGACGTCCCTATTCCACTGTTTTCAACTCAGCACTGTTTTAAAGTATAAAAGTGGTGGCGGGGCTGTTTGGATTCTTCAGCCTTGTCTTACTCTTGTATTTACTTCAAAGGTTTCGTTGAGTTTTCTGTTGGGGATCACTTGAAATGCGGCATTGTCATATAGTTGTTGAATTAGGTTGATAAATATTTGGAGTGCTCCATAGTGTTGAAGTAAGGAGAGAATACAGTTCAGTTCTAATGCTTAGACTTTGCAAATGTTAATAATGCCATGTGATTCAATATTTATCAGCACACAGATTAATGACCAATCTTTGTCCATTTAGTCTGCTTCATCAAGTTTGTTTAATCTGCAATGTGTATCAGAGGAGGAATAATAACATTATAATATGATCTAGTTATTTATTTCTATATTAGACTGAAGAACTGGGACAAACACTTGGTCTATCATAGTGTAACAGTTCACTAAACTCCAAACAGTCTACACAAATCAAAAGAGGATAAAAGGAAGATAAACAAGCATGAGTATGCCTAAGAGAGGATAGGAGAAATGCTGATCAATGAAAATGTCTATAATACCAAGAATGACAGAGACTAGACACATCTCTGTCACTGTGAATAACTTTAAGCCATTTCCCTAAGAAATTATAACTGCTGATCCTTGACATTTCTAAGACTCCAACTCACCTATTCAAACCTTTCTAGATGTCCACAGCTGACATCAAATCGAACGCTGTTCCTTTTCGGTTTGATCACTCCTTCGACTACTTATCAAGGAAGGCAGTAATTCAGGATGAAGAACACACACATATCCTGTCAGTCGTATTCTTAGAAGATTCACTATCTAATCTATTAGCATAGGGGTAGGAACCTACTGTTGGCTGAATAGATAGGGCTAGCATTTCACTTCTATAATTTTGCTGGTACATTGGCATGACAGTTATGCCGAATAGTCTCCTTGATCTTATATAGATGATTTATTCTTGCCTAATAGATTTGTTCACATAGCCACCGACTAGTACTTGTCTCGTGATATTTCCGTGGTTCAATGAAACAAAAAGTATTTCAGAAACAAAAGTTGTATTGGATATTCAGTCTAGTTGACTGTTGCACTTCAGTATCGTAACACCAACGTTTCAACCCACTCGGCTAGTATATATGCCTTCTTTACCTAAAACTGTACTTTCAAATGTCGTGAAGAATGCTTTAAATAACTTAGTCTTATTATAATTTCTACTTCCGTTGGCCATGTTTCACAGATGTAGAGTAGGTTATAGTTGACTGCTACACAGAGGTAATTATATCAAATAGAGAATAATTATTGTTGGATAAAGAGATGCTCGATAGCCAGTTAAGTTATACTAAGGTACTATTACTGAATGATGAATCACAACAGTATTCTCCGTGAATAGTGACAAAACATTTCAATAAGATTGTCTTTTCAAGGTCTTAAGCCAGTTATGTCGGTTTTTTTGGTACGTCACACATAAGTTGTTTGGGTAAGATTTCACTCAATATACATGTTGTTTTCAATGTGTAACTATGCATTCAAATCAACAGCCGCCTTCACTGACGCCATACTGAAAATCTGATGGCCGACGAGAAAGAGTTCGAAACAGAAAACTCTGAGAACGAACTAGTCAAGAACCTATTATTCAACCATTATGAAAAAGAAAATAGAAGTGAATTGGACACACGTTGAGGAGATCGTTGGGTGACATCGCCTGCTAGACCATAGCTCGAGTGGAACCCAAATGGGAAACGACGACGTGGGCGTTTTTCAGTGGGTGAAATGGAGGAGATCGTGTGAGGAGCAGATGAGAGACTATTGGTGACTGTGGGACCAGTTGAGGGGAACTATAGGGAACAGGACAAAATGAAAATATGCTGTTCCACTAGGAACCCGTATGTCATGCATAAATTAGAGTAGATAAGGTGTCATCCAATTTAGATGTTTTTCCTGTGCGTAAATAATTATAATTTTTCCTTCACGTTCCCAGTGGAACATAGGGCTCCAAGCTAGTGGCTTGAGGTTTCTGTAGCAGTGTTTAATTTTTACAGGATGGGGTTGCTAGCCTCATGCCCAACCTTTCCTCTTCACCAGCATTATTTCTGGCTTAGTGAGGTAAAGGAGTGCGCCGGCCGGGGATCGAACCCGAAGCATATGCATGGTCGGTGAGCGTCCTAACCGCTATACCACCGACGCACTTCCTGTGCGTAGTTATGCCTTAAGATTTAAGTACATTATTCAAAGACTGGGTGGCCACGCAATGCAATAATGTGTACGATTCATTGCTAAGTACATTCACATGCAGTGTTGCGGTAACAGTACACCTTTGAGCAAGTCGGGATGTACAAATTTTTACCACCAACCATTTCCCTTCTACAGAACAGAAAGGCAGTATGGTCGGCTTTCCAGTATTTCAGAGGAAACAGACACCTTTATTCACCGGATATAAGACTTCGCCTACAGACCTCACTTCCCAGTATAGTGTGAAAAATTACAATATGACAGTGACTGCCTATGGTCTAACCGTTGTCCAAACAAAGTTTCTCAGCAGATTATAACCTGAAGGAAAATTCATTCCAGTGATTATGGCTCATTGGCTCATTGAAGTGTCTAGCCAAGTTTGACTACCAACCATATTATGCCAGCAGTAACAGTAGGAAATGGTTAATCAACTCCCCTCTCAAATCAACACTTGAAAATTAATCATTGAATGTTTGAGTCAATAAGAAGCACCGTTTCACAACAATATAACCAGTCGACAACAACAACACCAACAGTATTAATCATAGAGGGTACAGTCAAGCTAACAGTCTAAAGAGATGCGATTCTTAGGGGTTATCAAATGCTTGTAAAACTAAACCAAAGATACATTCACTGTCTTGAAATTAAAAAAAAACAACCCTAAAATACCCAGACAGCAAAAAACACAGAGTCAGATGAAAACAGGCAGAGTATTGCTAACCGGATACTGATAGTCTTTGATGTACTCACTGCCTTTCAAATAAAACTGATCTACGGAAAGAAAAAGTAAGACAGTGAATACACCGATAAAACTGACTACCGTGACACCAAGCCGACACTGTGACAATTATTATCATTATTGTTATTATTATCATGCATAAACTCTCCCTACTACTACTGTTTCTTTTTCCTTTCCACACTTGACTTATTTTTTGCTGTTGTTGTTGTTGAGTGTATTAATTAAGACAAAGACAAAGCATCCCCGTAAAAGTATTTAAGAATGAGTAATGCAACTTTACTCTGTCTTTGTCATTAGTATTATTATTATTATCATTTTTATGCAAAAGTTGTGTTTCCCGCTTACCGTTTGTATAGCCTCCATCCATGTACTAGCCACATTGTCTAATTGACGTAGTTGAGTCATTATATCTGGTAGACGGTCGATATTTGCATTGGTTAAGTAAATTTGATCACGTAACTTTTGCATTAAATCTTTAACATTTTCAATGCGATTAGTTAGTTGTAAACTGTTCTGTTCAATTTCATCAGATCTACAAAATAAAATTTGGATAACGGTGAAAAGGAGAAAAATAAGGAGACGAAGCAATTAAGGTTAGTTACACTTGGAAAAATGAAAAAAACATATTCCTGCTGTTCATTCCTTCATTAACTTATATTTAGTTAGAGAATCATAAAAAAAAACCAAACTAAGGGGAACTGTTTGGTCCTCCTTCTTTGAGAATGTTGAACAGTGAGGAGCTACAAATCATGCAATGAATTTCTGAAGTTCTAATAAGCAGACATGACCAGCGAAGTCTGTCGTGCTGTGTGTTGAGACAGATACTTACCAGTTGCTGAATAGTCAAATATCTCACCTCGTAATCTGAAGATCCTGGGTACCGTCTCAGATAGTCGTATTTGTTAATATTGCTAAGACGAATTTTAACATTCTTCTTTTATAACCCTGAATTGACTTGTCTACTTTCCTTCTCCATATTGGATAAGTCTATTATAACTAACCACCAGCATAGTAATTGGTGTAATTGGATTCAGACGAGCACATTCTTCATGATTCATATTTGCTTTAAGTTGTATTTTCCACTTTAGCAATATACCAGCAGAAAAGGGAACTAAGTTGAGTTTCTTGTCCTATAGTTTTTCACGCTTATAATTATAGCCATATTAATATTAATTAATACATGTTAGCTTGTGTGATGAGAGGAATATCGTAGACGGTATCATAATACAAAAGAAGTTTTTTATTCAAGTGTTGGTTTGCAGGGATTTGATTTGATCGGTTACAGGATTTCTTCATGAGCTGATATCGGTTAGAGACCCATTGTAAAACCAGGTAGTAGTGGATAGTTGTTTCGTCCCAGTTTGGGATTCCTCATCAGTATGCACCAACCAAAAGTTTTCCAACCTAAGGTGACGTCGTGGACCATTCAGCCACCGGGATCTGATCCAGTGATCATTCCATAAATTCCAGCTTCTACCAATTCACAATATAGCACGACTGGCAATAGTGAATGTCGTCGGTGGCGAGTATTCCCCCTCACATCCGACCTGCTGTAGCCCACTGGCCATGACTTCTCGCTAGAAGTTTTTTAATCTGTCTTTACTGCAATGAGTAAAAATGTGGTTGGTTTACCAAACGCTTTGCAGAGCTGTTAACAAAGGGGCGATTGAATTATTCGATATACACGGAAGGATGAACATTTCGTGCTTCTAGTTCAGATGTATGTCGTTTTATGGAGCATATGATATGATATCCTTATAGTCACAGGTCAGCGTTCCTCTTCCATACTTACACTCGCGTCATTCTGCTCAAGTTAAAGAATACTGGCCACTGGGTGCGGACGCACCAATGACCTTGGATACGTGCTATTGGCTGAACAACGATATCTACCTTTGTTGAAGCGCCACCACGAGTATTGTGCATGGATTGAGGTGAAAAGTGCATCCCGATCTTGTTTTTAAGTAGTGTTTGGATAATGTGTTCATAGCACATTAGGGTTACGGTTAGTTTCAGGATTACGATTAGAGTTGGGGCGTTTTGTTTTCACTATGTGTATTTCTTTGGTAAATAGTTTTAGACTGTTCATAAACGGCATTTAGATTCAAATTTCAATGGTTATTCTGATTGATCACCTCAAGGTCAGTCGTGCTTTCGCCCTGCTTGGATCGTTATTCTTCAGCTTAGCCGTCATTCGAAATACTACGTAAGTTTGAATAAGGCAATTAGCAGACAAATTTCTCTAGATGATATGATTTCGTAGTTTCTTTACAACCACTTTGCAAATGACATGCTTCAAAATAATAATAACATAAAATGCACGACAAAAGTACATACTAATGATCAATCATATTTAAGTAGGTCAGGTAGTTCATGGAGGGCGAAGGTTGAAGTCTATTGCTGTTCCACTTTTAACCGACTTCACTCCTTCGATTAGGAAATAATAATAAGAAGTTATCTTGTGGAAAAGCTCTTCCTGTTAATTAATGTGTGACTATGAACCCACATGTTTCTAGAGTCGGCTACACTTGAAGTTTTCAGTAGTCAATGCCGAACAATAAAAATAGCCGGTATCAATTAACTTTTGAATCTACCTCTCATCTTTAGCTGACATCAGTTTACTGCGAAATCGACTACGAGATTCGATTGCAGTGCCAGTAAATAGCTGGAAGATACAGCTAGTGGTAAGATCGTTAAGTAGTGTAAGCAGGTCTGCTGTTTTGTGACAAGTGATTCACCGATTTGTAATCAGTTATTCTCACTAACCATGGGGAGGGTGAGAAACACATTCATCAACCTGAAACCAATCTGGAAGTCTTCGTCACTCAGCATCAACAACAAAATTCCGTCGGATTTTCAATACAAACGTCAATTCAGTCAGTTCTTCTATACGGATGAGGGTCACAAAGAATATTTCCAACAGCCTGTTGCAAACCTTTATCAACAACTGTCTTCGCTCTATACTGAATGAAGATCGGATGGTCGGAAATAATCACCAACAAGAAACTATGGGAACAAACAAAACAAGAACCAATCGCTCAACAAATATGCAGGAGAAAGTGGATGGAGATGGATTGGACACTCGCTGGGTGACATCGTGCGCTCGTCAGGCCATTGCTCGAGTGGGACCCGAAAGGCGGAAAGCGGTGAGTGGGACGTCAGTGCCAGGGTGACATGGAGGAGATCGTGTGAAGAGGAGTTGAAACAGTATGGACGAAGATGGATGAAGGTGAAAAGTACAGCAGAAGATAGAAGCAATTGGAGACGTGCAGTTGAAGCCCTATGTTCCACTAGGAACCCAAGGGAACAATAATAATTATAATAATAGGAGTATAAATTGGGAGATAATGCATGCGTCAGTTGGCCCTTAGAAACAGAGGATGCAAATGAACCAATTAACTGGTACAGTTGTCTAATGATAACACATATACCTATTCGTACACGTAATTTAACAAATAATAAGTCTGTCTATCTAGCGTATCCGTAATGGTGTTATTAACATTTCTGATTTAGAATTTAACAATTTACTATTACTACTGTTAGTATTTAAGTAGTAAGGCAAAGTAATTACTATCTTTTTATATGCAGCTGTTTGCAGACATTCAGGCTAGAAGACTAAAACTGCTTAAGATAGACATAGCACACAAGCCAACACGACCACTTCTTTCAGCATTGTGCAGACCAAAAATAGGATCAAAATAAACTGCATCAGTTATGATAAGCATTACATTGGTCAAAGTGAACGACTCAGTGTTCAAGAACATAAATTAATTGTAAAAAGACACTTCTACCTTGGACGTAGATGAAGAGATATTTATTCATTTATTTTTTATATTTCATCCATTTTGTTTATTTAGTTAATCTATGTACCTTTTCCTCATTACAACGATTATCATTATTACTTTTAAAATTCGCACTTTGAATTGTTTCCACTTGTCCCACTTATCGTTCTAAATCCAAAAAAGTTTTTACAATGTTGAAAGACACGATATGTATCCTTTCATACTGACGCATGCAGTCAGTCGAGGACACCAATTTGATGAGGAGAATGCAGAAATTTTAAACAAAAGACACAGCAAAAATCCTAGAGTATTTATAGAAGCGAGAATCTTGAAGTTCATACAGGAGTAAGATAAGTCTGCTTACTCTTACCTATGCTATTCCTATTTGTGACGGACTGGATTGTGCAGAAGACTGTGCACAAGCAGCGAGAAGACAACAATACACTGGACCGATAAAAAGAGACTCTATAAGATCTGGACTTCCCATGGGTTATTTTTGTCTAATGTCACACAAAATCGAAGGCTAATGCGCAAAAACCTACAAACTCTCAAAAGAAGCTGGCATCGAAGATATCACTTCAAGTGAGAGTAGAGAAGACGGGGGTGATGAAGATGACCGTGCCCATCAACAACAACAAAAAGCACCAGTCAGCATCAGTGGAATAAATTCGAAACAGGTCACTTCTCTCACTTATCTAGACAACGCCATTTCAACTATGGGCACGACAGATGGATGTGGATATCAAAACCAGTCAGATTCGGTAAAAGAAGACAGTATTCATCAGTCTGAATTCATTTTGGAAATCTTCTACACTCCACCTCTGCATACGGAACTACATTCCGATTTTCAACACGAATGTTAATTCAGTCAGTTCATCTACATGGGTCAGAAACTTGGAGGGCGCGTCACGAAAAGCATTTCTGACAGTCAGCTGCAGACTCTTATCAACAGATGCCATCTCTGACTCCGTAATAAAGATCAATTGACCAGCTGTCCAGAGAGAATTAGTAACAAGGAAATTTGGGAAGGAACCAATCAAGAACCTGTTGCTCAAAGAATGTGGATAGGGAAATAGAGGTTGATAGAGCACATGTTGAGGAGGCCATTGGGTGACACCACATGGCAGGCCCTACCTCGGGTGAGACGGGAATATGAAACGACGAGTTGGGTGTGTGTCTGAGTGTAACATAGAGGAGATCGTGCTAGAAGGCGATGGAAGCTTACGGGTAATCATGAGGCCACTTGAAGAGGACTAAGGGGAACAATGTGGGATTGAGATGCATGTCTGAAGCCCTGTGCTACACTCAGAAGTGAAGGGAATAAAGATATATATATATATATATATATATATATATATATATAATAGATAGATACACGAAACCTGAAACGATAAACAGACAGGCAAACAAATAGGCAAGCTCACTTCTTTATATTCTTTTGTAATGCTTCTTTGGAACTTTTAATTAATGCCTTAGACTCTGTCAGTTTATTCGTTGAATTACCCAGGAGTTGAGTGATACTATTCACTTGTTTCTGTAATTGTTCACTTCTTTCATTCAATCTATTTTTTCAAGCAAAAACAACACAAAGAAGAATAACGGAAGAAGAAGAAAAGAAAGGGATTTCTGTTTGCATTTGTAGACAGAGACCTGGTTTATAAACTTTTAATCACCTTAGCTACTGAGATTGCAAATGTCTGCTTTCTTTTTAGTCCACTGTGGACAACTGTGGACGACTTGACAAGGACAAATTTTTATCCATTGTTTAGAAGATGGTTAATTATGGAACAGAGTGTTCCAGCTGACAAGAATTTGATGATTTCATTTAATTCTACAATTTTCGGCATATGTGTTCTTTAAGTTTCACCACCGATTGATATCATTTAGAGAAGCACTAGAAACCAAGGAGCACTGGAGAGCTGATACCTTTTAGTTAGGGAATCATCATCAGTAATCACGCACCGGGATACTAACGAAAGACCTACCGGTTACAGGCCATACTCGTAGATCATCCAACTATTGGGATCCGACTCACTGGCTAACCCGTGAATTCTAACTGCTACCAACTCGTGAATTTAGGGGTTGGAACGCGGGCGGGTGTGTAATGCTAAAAAGTCCCAGACTAGGATGAAACAGGCATCTAGTACTACCTATTGGTTTTCAACAATTCCCTAAATGATATCAATTAGTGATCAAACTTTAAATAAATCAAATCCATACAAAATAACTTTTTAAAGTTTGTTCTTTATTTTAAATTCGAACCAGAAAGTAAATGTTTCCACATAAATCGGTATTGTTTTACTGTCAGCTAGATGGTACAACCTAGGGGCTTTCACCATCATTCTAGACAACATCTTCAGCGTTGACTTCAACATGAAGTCTTCATAAATTTTGCATTAAACCATTTAGGGCAGAGAATATAACTACACAAATATCATCAACCTGAGCTGTAAGCCTTCTTCGTCATTTCTGTTTATATATATATATATATATATATATATATATATATATAATACCATTATCTGATGATAACTATTATTAAATAATTGCTATTCCGTCCTAGTTTGGGACTCTTCAGCCTTATTTACATGTGACCCCTGCCAGAACCCTCAGATTACAAAGCAAGTTTGTTGAAATTCACCACCATGTTGTTTATAAATTCTGTCGACGCGTGAAATTGCTCTTTACCATCAACAAGCATCTAGTCCAAGAAAACATCGTGGACACCATTAACCATGACGTCTCACTGAAATGAAGGACATTCATCTAGTGAAGAGTCTTTAGTGAGTAGTGGATTAATTTACGGTTGTCTGTTTGTAGGGCTTCGACTAATTTCAAGTTAGACCATGGAAAAGACTACCATCTAAGAAACAGACATACACACGGAGAAACGTTCATTCAGTGTAGTGTTTTTTATTTCGAGTTCAGTCAATATTTACGCAGATGAAGATTGTCTGCTCTTTTGCTTGGTTCAACATTCAGTGGTTGGCTGGTGTGTTATCATGACAAACAAGATTATTATGATTATTATCCCTAGGCATAAAAAATCAATATTTAAACGAATGACTCAGGTAATCAACCAATCAATCAACTAATCAGTCAGTCAGTAAGCAGACACACTGATTAGAAAGGATTACCTTTTAGCTAATTCATTAATTTCATTGGCATGTTTTGTTAAAGTTTGATCTGAAGCATACAGTCCAGTTGTTTGACGTAAATTCTCCAGTACGATTTGCACTTCATCAGTCAATAGTTTCGGTAATACTTGATTAACAGTCTCTTGTAATTCTTGGAAATTTCCATCGAATCCATTTGTCATGCAAGCCAACTAAAGTCAAATAATGAATAATAATAATAATAATAATGCAAAGTATGTTTAAGTAGTTATCGATTATTAGTTTTTCTTTGAGATTTACTAGCAGGATGCACCTGCTCCCCACTAAATGATGGTTTCCTTACTCAAAACTAGAATTCAACTCCTATCATTTAGAAAGAGCGAGAGTTTTTTGTTAGCCTCATCCTGAATGCAAGTTCCTTGACTGAACGCTAACTAGTGTCATGCTTACAGTCCTTTGTTTGGTGCAAGCTAAATTCTATCAGTCAAATTCGAGGTGTGGCCACCATACTAGGTGGCTCACCATCAAGATGGACTGTGAATTGTTGATATTAGATGGTGAAAGGCATGCTCAGGAAGTCTAGTATCTAGGTTTCGTACTAGTCGGCACTCACCAGTCTGAAATGTGTATCTGAGTCCTTGAAGGGACCAAGAGACAAACACGATCTATTCGTAGCTGTGTTTTGGCACACCTTGTAAATGGAGAAGCATAAGGTTGACGTTAATACTGCATTTAAAATTATTTATCGCATTCCTACTAATCTTAATTTTGCTTTGTGAGTTCGTCTTCTACATACAGCTGAAGCAATAGGAATCCTCCAGAAGAAGCCAAACCTTTGTGTTCAGAAGAAAATTTTACAGCCACTTCCCTTACCTTGTCCATCGTTACATGAATGTATAAGCCGGACTACTTCTTCCACTTCCCCCTAGACCTTTAAACATTGTGTAATTGTCCAAATTATTTAATTTTTGTGACTACTTCATCCTTAGCTACAAGTTATCACTGTCAAAATCTTTTTACTTATTTTTAACAACCTGTGAGATAACCAACTTGATCACACGCTTCTTCCTTAATTAATTTTCATTTTTCCCAAAATTATGCACTAAACAATCCATGTGTTGCAACCATTTCTACCTTTTAATTGTATGTAATTAATTTTCTTCATTAATTGTCACCCCATTGACATGCTGATGCTGACTAATTATTGTTAACAAATATATCAGTGCCACTTGATTGGTAAATTGTTGTGTATTGTAATAAAAATGCTCAATCCTTTTTCTTTCCAAATGTCTAAATGTAGATCTTTTTTTATATTGAACTCATTTCCTTTCTGAGATCCGTACCCGTATCAACAAGTGCTTCAGTCAAACACTCTACTACTGACCTATTCGGGTTAGCGATATAGAATACCAATACATATTTCGATATCTGTGTATTCAGCTGAACAGCTACAAAATGGTGCACGAAATGCAGTGGCCTGGAATCCACTACTAGCTACCACCAGTGAGGCGCGGTCGATATAACTAAAGTACCTGGAAGTCTACATGTCAGTTGAGTAGAACCAGTCAACTGGGAATTGCATAAAAGTAATTTGAAAAACAAAAATATTATTTTCAAGTGATTATGACTGGGAAATAAACTTCTAGGCGACATTTTCACCACATTTCTTGCAGAATTATTATCAAGGTGTGTCAGTGAGAACTTCATTACTACTAGTTTTCTAATTATATTATTACTGTTATATTGTTCATTCCAGCTAACTGGCTTCTTATGTGATTATTATTGTTCTTCTTCAGTTTTTGTTCTCCTCATTCATAAATCATAAACTTCACTTGAGAATTTATAATTTAAAACACGGAATACAAAATATTTATGAGTATGCAGATTGTTAGCTATGGTGACAGTAGTGTTTGACGTGTGATAATTGAAGCGTGATGTGATGTATTGCATAAACACTTGTTTTCAGGGCAGATAAATAACTTCCACTTTCATATAGCAGGAATAACAATATTCCTACTTTTTAGGATGTTATCTTATTGTTCACTCAATTTCGAAAGTTAGCCTGTAATAAGAACTAAGTAACAGTGACGCATTGAAAGTCTTCTCGGCTCTGACTCAATCTGTCTGAGTGGTTTTAGTAATCATACAGCTGGATATGAAAGTTGATTGTTAACAGTGGTAGTAGTAGTAGGACGAGGACGAAGTGTAGCCTAAGGACAACAGTAAAATGAGCATTCACTGGCGCTGAAGTATGCTGTCTCTTCAAAACCACCCCTATTTTACGTTCGCGAGTTAGAGATAAACCAGCTGATTTCATCTCTTCTATGTATATCTATCGTTCGACTGTTTCTGTGGAGCCAGTAACATAGAGTGTACAATTAGGCATGTTTGTCGTCGGATTCCTGAACACCATCTTGCCTGGTTAAGTAAGGGACAAACAAAGCCCATTCATAGTTCTAGACTATCTTATCTCGTAGATATCGAACACAAAATTGATGTTAACAAGGTCCTCAAAGTCATCTACCGTATATCGACTAATCTTAATTTTACCTCAAGAGCTCATCTATCACATATTCTGAGGCCGTTGGGATCCGCATTAAGAAACCTAACTTATGTATCCATAAGAAGCTGGTTCAGACATTATCCTTACATTAGAAAACAATATTTTAACTATCCTCGATTTTTGTTACACAAATTTTCTTAATTTTATGTGATATTATATTTTTATGCTTATTATAACTTGTGCATCTTTCTTGAACTCTAATTCGATTGATCTTAACAAATCGATTTTATTTCGCTTACCCACACCTCTACGTCATCTCCCTACCCATTAATTGTGACCTTAATCTGTACACAATCTGACCTGTATTGTAATTATTCATGCCATCTTGGCCTCCATAAAACTGTGTACAACAAGTACATGTGTGATCAGAATGTCCGAAATGTGTTGCACAAATACATTACACATGTTTCAGATAAACTGTGTCTTCTTATTGAGTTGTTGAAATTCATTAAAGGAACTAATTGCTTTCAATTTCAAAAAACACCAATATTGTTAATAAAAATTATCTCAGAATATCTGTCTTTGTGGAGCCGGAAGAGAAATTTATCAAAATAAATGTTCTTTGCTCAAACTTCCTTTTGCTTTCTAAATGTGTGGATGGGAATTTTCGCAGTATTAGATCAGTTTCAGAGTCTACCTTCTGTTTGGTTAACCTGCATTTTGACAGTCGCTTTCGATTGTTCAATTTCTACTCATTATGCCGTTCTTATAATCTTGATAGCTGACTAACAGGGGATGCATTAACAAATTTGTTCGATTTAAGACTTGATCTATTTCGTCAATCTAGGATGTGTTTTTCTTATCCCTCTTTGGTCACACCACTGGTCTCTTTTTTTATTTATATTTATTCAGGGTGGTCCTGAATAAATTGCAGTTGGCCAGACCTCTCAAAAACTGTTCATAAACCTCTGACCAAATACCCCCTGATCCTATTTCAAGCGTCCATCATCCCAGTTATTCATGTAATAGTAATTGACGCCCAATGATGAAAACTCCCTCATTCTAATGACACTGTAGCTCTTAGCATTTGTTAAGATTTTGTCCTCATAAGCAGCACCATTGCCAAGACTGTAACAATTTTGGACGCAAAGACTATCTTTTCCAGCAGTACAAACAATGACACACACAACTAGCATCCTCAAGGAGTGGTGTAGATGCTGCTCCCGATCAGTACTTCTCAGGCAAAGATTCGTCAGTATTTGAACCCTACATCCCCAAGATGATGCTACGCCTGTTTCCCAAGCAAAGAGACCTATGCCATGTGCCTCACTACCACGAGCTGAAGTCAAACCCTCCCCTCTTGGACAAAAAGATGCTCTCAAGTGTGCCACAGTTTCTCACTCAGCAAACAACAGACTATTCTACCGACAGGTAGGTACAGAAAATAAACAGCATTGTTTCGGGTTGATCCCAAATAATAAATTTCTCATAAAGGGGGAGATGATATGTGGGCAGATAAGCGATGAATTTTCCTTTTGTAGATAGCTTCTATCACACCTACGTCACTGACCATGTATACATATATCGCTGTTTCCTCTTGTTAGTATATATACTGATACACTGATACCGATTCTGATGCTCAAATATACTCCTCATTTCACGTGGTTCTATGTTCTCGCTTAAGTAGAGTGGACTGGGGAAACAGACAGTTGTTGTGTACACTGATGGAGTAGTGGCTCAGCAATACTACATAATCACCACGTCTGTATCCATCTGCAGAGTCATTATTTCACCACTTTCAACCTCAGTGTATATTGCAAAATATAAAAGATGACTACTGCAGAGTAGTCGTTAGCTTTGGAAATTATCTCTCAGACCTTCAGGGTAAATTTTGTTAACTGCTAACAAAAAGCACTCACATTACGTAAATAATGCATTGTTATTCAATCTTATACATTTGATAACTAAGTGACTTTATTAAACTATTCACTGATGATCAATGATCAACAAAAGAGAAACAAAAGGAGAATAATTAATAAAATTGCATAGATAATTAATTCACTTACTGGTTTATCAGCTAATTGTTTTAATTCATTATCAATCATATCAATTTGACTGGCAATATTTTCTAATAACTTTTTAAATTGTTTATCATTGACAATTGAATTATCAGCTATTCATTAAAGTAAAACAAAAAAAACAAGAAACAAAAAGAGACAAAATAATATCAGGAATAATTGAACATTGAACAGGAAGAATAACAACTCATAAATTCCTATGCTTATTATAAAATATATAACAATAAACGAATAAATGTATTATGCATGTTATTTGACGGTGAGATAATATGAAGTAGCCTTGAGTTGGCAGACTATTATTCAGGTAATGGGCAATGATTGAAGGTAAAATGAAAATCTGAGTAGAGATACAATTCGAACCGATCATCTGCAGATTACTAGTCCAGAAATCTAGTCGTTTCTCATTCATCTCTGTAGGTCTTCGATTTTGTGTGGTATGAGATATAAATCATCCATGGAAAGTTCAAATCTCCGATAGTTTTCTTATCTGCTGCCACCCCCCACCTTATTTCTGTCTTCGCACTCAGTATGATTTGCAGCTGTGACAGACCGCCAGTGGATGGAATCCTGAGCATTTAGCCAGGTTACATATACACTTTTATTCGTTTGATATAATTTTAAATAAAGTTGGTGGTCTTTTCTTTTTGTTTTATCTTTCGTACAACACAAACTGTACAATATGTCAATTAAACCAATGGACTTTTGAGAAGAGAATACAGGAAAAGTAAAATCTATCTACCGATACTACTGAATTAAATTCCATTAACTGTTTAACTGATATCATTTTAGTTTTAGGTTTAAAAAAATTGAATTATAGAGGAAATAAATGGTTTTACATGATTGCTGTTGTAAAGTGAAGCCAGGAAATAGAGATAGAGATCACTGAGAGACATGGGATATATGCGTGTGGGTGCGCGGGCGACAAGATATGTACTTATTTGCACTTTAATAGGAGGGGTGGGGGACATGTTCAAAATGACGAGTAAATAATCTTCAAAAATGAGTAAAAATTACACGTGAAATTTCCTAATTTCCCTAACAGTAATTAATAAGTGATATTCATTGTTTTATTAACAAAATGTTTCAGGTTTGGGTGAACATATGGTTTGGTATTTTCAGTTTCATTTTGTGTTTACTTACTGGAAGCATTCAGTGGAAGTTTCGATTAAAGATTTCTGCTGATCGTTGGTGCTTGTCATACTTGTCTAGTTTTTAAAATGCTTTTTGAGAACTTTGTTGGCCGCCTGCTTGAAACACCGGGCTACCTAAATTTCCATACAACACTATACTTGATTCTTGTTGTTTTAGCCGTTCAGTTAAATCCTTAAGTCTCAGTGTGTACTTACGCACAATTTTAATTGGTTTTCAGATTGCTGGTGCGCATGAGAATGAAGGAGAAGTATCATAAGGGATTATTCTATGCTTCAGATAGAACAGTGTCGCATAACGTGAAATTCTATAGATTGTTTTCTGACCTGAAGGTCCTCAATGAGAAAAAAATGATAAGTTACTCTGAGAATTCTGTGCTTTGTGTAAACATTTTGTCCAGAAAAAGCTGTTATTATTATTATCCTGCTACCAAGAGAATGTTTAGAAGGAAATAGAGATAGAACCTGTTGACATTAAGTGTTTGGAGACCGTCGGTAGGAAGCCTTACACGTAGGGCTATTCGAGCCAGAATAGGTCGGTGGTAACATCTCTGACTACGATACTGGATGATATAGGTTTGAGTCACAGAAGAGATATCAGACATGCAGACACGCCTTGCTGACTGTTGAGTACCAACTAGCACGAAACATAGGTCAGACCGGGCTTCCTGCTAGTTGCCTGGAATCATCTAATATCAACAACTGAGTGTGCATTGTGATGATGAGCCACCTAGTGGCATCGTGGCCACATCGCAAACCTGACTGCAGTAGAGACAGGTACATCGGTCATTCGACGTGCATCCTGTCAAAAAGGGTCAAAGAACATCATCCAGTGTGGCTGCAGAAGGAAGTGGCCGTTTAAGGAGTGGAATAATCGAACATTTATCACCATTAGTCATCTCATCTCAAGAAACGCCTCCGCCAAAGTAATCAACTAAGTGAAGAACAACCTGCCAAAGACAATACGTTTCCGTCTTCTTTGTACTGCAGGAGCCCTAGCCATTCATTTGGAAGAACCAGAACTGTATATACAAAAGAAAATTATTCAGCCACTTCTACTATCATGGTAACAACTCTGTTGATTTGACTTAATTTTTGCTTGTCTTTTCTAACTACCTAAAACTCTTGTATTCTTGCAAACCTCTTGCGTAATTCAGTATTTTATTTTTTTTCCATGTATACTGTGAGCACAGCTCTTTCATCAAACTATTCATGTTAATACCTAACTCTACCTAATAATCATTTGTGACAACTCATCACTTTTGTCACTTCCCTCTTATATCAACATCAAATTCCTCTGAACGCTTTTTGTATTATGTAACTTCAGCAAGAACTTAGTAATTGTATTTTTGTTTGAAAAATTTAATGTACACACACATACGAAAAATAACCATATACAAGTGTGATTGTACAGCTGTGAAAATGAATTCACCGGAATAGAGACTCTTCACTGAACTACTCATCTTCTCTCTCTGTTATTAGTAGATCTCAGTTTGCGGTATACTAAGGTCAAGACATATTACACTAGTTACCAACTGCTGTCCAATCAAAGAGATGGAACCGGAATACGATAAGGAGACAGTGGGGTGATATCAAACGTCCTTCAACAGGACTCGAATAAGAAGCCGTGAGTTGAGCTGTGATAATGCTTACTTGAATATACTACCAAGAGTAGTACTTTGTTTCCTCACTTGCTACTTTTTTCCTAAGATTTTAAGAGAGTTTGCATTGTTTGATTTTCGTGTAAAGTGACATGCAAAATAAATAGACGTACGACCAGACTGTTTAAAATGTAACACATTTTCCCTAGTAAATTTCGGTTGCAAATAACACTTTCGAATCTTGCCAACGCTAATGTTATTTTCTTTTGAAGAATACTACAACCCCCTATAGAGATTTTCTATGGCTTATTTCATTTAAAAGACAGAGAAAATTTTGAAGCAGGTAGAGATATCCGAGAGCGTTTAGAGTGCTTGAGAATCATGATTAAATGTTTAAAACGACAGAAGCAGGATATAACTAATATTTAAACAAAAGGGAGATTATAGGAAGATAAAAGGAAGAGGATTATTTCCTATACGATTTGGTAATCAGTAAATCCACTTGATAAGTAACTAGTTCGTTCCTTCAGACTATTTAGCTCTCATCTCAGGGCTGATGACGCTGCTAGTAAGAGAATCACTGAAATCCTTGAAACAGTGGATGGATAGCTGTTTCGTTTATGACTATGACGGATCGAGCCTATTTGTCATTCAGCCTCGTGGTCATAACCCCTTGAATTCTTAAACGCGTCACTGCACGACTTATAATCCCCAAATTGGACTTCATAGGAAACTATATATCTTCACCTTTAGAATTGGTGAGTCTCTCCAGTTACGACTTTATATCGGAAATCTATGAACGCTATTCTTTTCGTGAGTTACTCAGGTGATTAAATTTTTGAAGTCAATCAAATCCGAATAAAGCCTACACTTACAAAGAAGGAAAATCTTTTTTAATCATTGTTATACTATTCTTGGACAATGTAAAGAATACCAACCATGGAGCATCGATGATCTTGGACGCATACTTTTCGTTGGACTACATAACCTACTGTTATTTCAGCGTCAGTATGAACTCAGTGCATGAAATGATGTGCAAGTTCCAACCTGATCGCTTTTTTAAGTACTGTCATGCTTAGGGTTAATATTAAGGTTGGAATGTTTTTCTTATTCTTATCTGTATTTTTTTTGTAAGCCTAATAAACGTGGGGGAGAGTATTTCCTTGTTCATATAAATGAAACCGTCTTGATAGCTATGAAACTTGAAAACTGATATCCTTCATTGTAATTGGGATGTATTTTTCAATTATATATATCTTTAGTATATTTCACTGCTATTGTGTTAATTTTTCTGCTAGATAAACAGCTTTCTGATGCAGCATACATGACAGGTTGACTAACACAACGAATGATATGCGTTCAAGGTCATTGGTGCGTACTCACTCCGTGGTTGCTATTGTTTATATTTTCCACATAGTTCATCTATTTCTGAAGTAATTAAAGCTTGGCTTTAATTTATTTTATCCAGTTTGTGGCCACACTGTCTTTTTTGAGCATAAGTAGGTTTATTTTGTTGACTAGTTAATTATGTGCATACGAAAACTTGTTATTTTTAGACTAAAAAGTAGAGTTTGAGCAAATAATACCAACTATGTAAGCTTTTTTTGTTCTATTTAATGAATAACTTATAAGCATGAAAGGTAAGATGTGGGTGTAAACACTATCTGAAGCTAAGACGTAATGAATTTATAATTATATCTGTAGTTATCAGATAATTTTATGAACGCTGATAAGTGTCATACCCAGCAATGAAACAACGGTTTTCTCATATATTTTTTTGAAATGAAGCATTTACGTTTCACAGATGAATAAATTACTTTTGATTAGGTTCAAGTTAGACCACAAACTGACATCAGTTAGAGGACCATTGAAAGCTAGAGAGCACTGGGTAGCTACTTTGTTGTTGATTTTGAGGCTTTTCGCCAGTGCGTAACACCATCCAATTACGGTTATGAGGCGGGCCTGTTGACCATTCAAAGTAACTATTAATAAATATCATCAGATGGTTTCTATCCTCTCACCTAATTTAGTGTACCCAGCTGGTTACAACTTCCTACCTAGAAATACATGAACTTCATCCTGTAATCAATCACTAGAGGGCAGCAGATGAAATGTCAAGTTTATTTTTGTAGGCAACTGACTGGTCTCAGAATCGATCACGAACTGGTGCAGACTGGTGGTGGTGCTATGTGTATCACTAGTTGGCAGAAGATAAACTTTATGGTTCATCGGACCTCATCCCAGTGGCCTAATGTTCAGTGGGCTTATCTCGTAGTCTGAAGGCCCTGACTACTCGGACAGGAGAAAAGCTGTTCACTGCTTCCTTGTTTTCAAATAGTTTTGTGA